GCTAAGAAGCCACGGACGCGTAGGAGATGTGTTTTGGGTGGATGGAGTTTGGGTCTGTTGCGGGGAAGGTAATTTTTCTTTCGTAACCATCATATTGTGGAGTAGGAAGGGTTTTGAGAAACAATAGATCCTTTACCAAGTGTGGGAGGATATCATTATATTATGAACAACAGAGGACCTAATGTAGAGCTTTCGGGAACATTTTGGAATCTTAATCATGTTGGATTTCCAAGGCAATCTCAAAAAGTCTTTGAGACGTTCAAATTATTCCATTGTTTTGGACAGTTTGGCAGTGCTTTCCTCAGAGTATCTTTATTTCTTACTCTAAGGTGCTTTCCATCAAAAATTGCCAAGAAAGTAGACTCAAGCTGTTGGGTTTTATATGCAATGTGTGTTGCATATCGGTAAAGAAGCAAGTTTTTCGCTACATATTTAAAATTTAAATTCTTGGGCGTCACTTTCAATTTAAGTAAAGTACCTTGGCGCGGTGAGCGACGCGACCTTTACGCAAAGCATTTAGGTCACATTCAAGGCTTTTTTTATAGCCAACCGATGCATCTGATTGTTTTTACTAAACGAGTGGAATAAACTGACAAAAATAGATCGAAAAAACGAATTAAAAAAGTAGTCACCCAGTTCTTGCGTCAGTGTGCGCACCTGTAGGTATAACAGACCCTCAACGCGCATGTTTGAATTAAGACCGCGGGGCAAATAAAAGGATTTAATTCAGATCTTGTTCGTCGGTAGATTAAATAACACTAATATGGATTAATGATTGGTTTTTTATTCTAAATTTGGTATGGTAATTAGGACATTTCCGTGGCGGATCGTTTAGTAATTCGCGCACCAGCCGAGCGTCTACTAAAGTGAAAGTGCATGGTGATTACCTTCAAGAAATAGTTTTGGTCTAGCAACACAAAGACTTAAATCTTACGTATAAAGTATTTTTTTCTGCAAGTTATTAGTCTGGTATTTTTTCGCGTGTAGGAGTGAAGCGCGCGCCCGGTTCGAGGTTTTTCTTCCACAATTCAATGTCGTTTGGGTTTATAACAAAAGCAGTTTGGCAAGTTGATAATTAACGTGAGCAGTCAACAGTAAAAATAGTGTGTAAACGGAAATTATAGTGAAAAAAGACTTTCTATTATGCAGCTACTCCCCATGAATGTGCAGTGCGTGCGCTCTAATAACGAATAAGGAAATGTGAAGAAAATGTACGACAATTTTCGGCACCGTCGGTCCGTGTCAAGTGCGTCGGGCGTCAATAATAATCCACCACTACCACCCCCAAGATCGGCGCCGGCAACAATACGGAAGCGTCGCCGAGATGTCGGTGATCGAGTGTGTATTTCTTCACCGACGAAAATATTGTTTAATTGCGCGGACGATAATTTGAAGCAATTGGGCTGTGATGATGAGATCGGTGATTTTGGTGAAAATAGAAATCGTGCCGGTAGTAAAAGTGTCAAAGAATGTGATAGCAATAAACCGTACGCGAACATACGTAATATACGCAACTTGCCCCTTTACGCGTCATTCAGATGCAGAGAGTTTGAGGAAACTCTGGAATGTCAGGAAGTCAACCTATTTATAGGTAATACAATTAATGGGATCTTGGGGATTTAGATGCGGGTATAGTATATGGTTTCTCACGGAAGTAATCCAATTTTGATACGCGTTGATCGCAAATGTGACGCAATTCGGTTTTGTTCAGCCTACGTTTGCATACTAATGCCAAATTTAGGCATAAGAAGTTGTCGTGGGTAGTTATTATTCAAACAGGCCGGTTGCTCTACTAAAATAACATTACACAAGTTCTGTTACCTATGCAAAAACGAAAGAAAATGAAAGATGGATCGACAACAAAGAATATTCGTGAAAAGATCATAGTTCTGGGTTCATCGCAAGTTTTCGACTATTTCGCCATTTTCTACTGTTTAAAGTATTTTCACACGATCACGTGAATTCATACATTATCTTGTTTAACCCAAGCGTTTTTTAATGACGGTAGTATTGTTGTGGTAACAGACATAATCAACAACTTGGTTTTTGAACCATGCTCAAAGTCCCACTGCGACGTCATTTGGTGTTGTTTTCCTTATCTTAGTGACATGGATAGAACAGGTCTGATACCTAGAGTGCTTTCCAAGCTCAACATATTCGAGAGCAAGCAAGGTACTTCATCCTTTTTTACTATGCTCAAAACCGAAAGGTATTACGAGAAAATGTAAGTAATTTTTTGTACCTACGCGAAACTGACCCATTGTAAGGTTCATCTCTTCCACCCCTATCTGCTTTGAAAGCTACCCCTACTACTTACAATTTGAATTGCGAAAGAATACTCAAATTACACGTAAACGTTCGTATTTCACAGATTGACGCGATTCCATTCCATGCTAATTACTTTTGTGTGGTTTGTTTCAAAACAAGCAAAAACAAGTTAATAAAGTTGATTTTTTATGGTCTGTACACTCGTTACATGGTGTAATCTACGACCATCGCTGACAAGTCATCGGTACTTGTACGTTCAATTTTCCTATTTACCTACCTTTTGTTTTAGTACATTACAATAGAATACTAGAACAGGTGTAAACTCGGGTGTAAATATATCATTTTGGTACTAAACTCCATTGTGTGCTTCTAAACTTGTTCTGCACCCAGAATAGTTCCACAGTTGAGATAATTTTGAAGTCCTAAAATCACAAAAATAGGTTCAAAAGGAATTTTTGAAAATTAAAATTTTGGTCCACTGTTACTATTGTGGTTTTCACAGGGTAATTTTGCAGAACTTGTAGATGTATTATGGGTCCAAGTATAACTACTTTAAGAAATTTCACAATTTTCCCCCAAGCCAAACATGTTGACTTAATTAAAGAGTAGTTTTGATTATCAACGAAATATTTGACCGCGTTTCATTAGAGGAAAATTACTCAGTTTTGAACTTTTCATGCTAATATACCTACTTCAAACCACTAAGCTACACTAGTGTAAAGTTTTAAATTTTTCCACATGATGATTATGGCAGTTTATGCAAAATCATTATTTTGTCCCTAAACTCAGATCTCAAAAAGGGTTAGGGATATTATGTGAGGCAGTTTGGCTTTTCTTCCTTCGAATAGACACTTGGTGTGGTTTGTTTCTGGGAAACTCCTCCCTCCCCTCTCACTTTTGCTGCTAGTTTGTGCGCACTTTAACTAACCATCCCTTAAGCGAGATGACATATGGCCACTTATTATCCATTTCGGGATAAAATGTTCCTTTATTGGGAGGATTGTGTTTTGGTCTCATTCACCACCCAATATTTTTCTGTGTATTTTCCAATAAAATTGCATTAAATTGCAGTCACTTTTTCTGTCCATCTGTCCGAGATCTTGATTACTACAGTTTTGAATATATTTAGTTTGTTCTTTTTGATATAGCCCTGGCGAAGGTTTTTTAGTATAACTCTGGAAGGAATTCTGGTAGAATGCTCGGGTTTGAAGCATTAGCTTTGTGTCACAATTCTTTGCATGTAGATTACGTTTTGGAAGCGGAGAAACCTCGATCAGTCGCACAAATACGCGCTTAAGTACTCTTAAGTCTGTAGAAACCATAATTTCAAACAGTTCCAAAATTGGGCTACTAGTTCAAAAGTTACAGCCCTTTGAATTTTCTTTCGAAATTGGTTTCTAGTCCATAACTTTTGATTGAGAAGTCCGATCGAAAAAGTACGAATTGTCTTAGATTCTACGCACCAAAATTAATAAGAAAAAGTGTTTTCCCGAGAAATTTTGGTGCAGTCGATTTTTGGTAAAAAACGAAGGTTCACTGCCTTTTTTTGAGCCCGAAAAAAAAATTGTCTCAGATCGACCCGGAAAAAAAATTTTCTTATAGAATGTGGCCTGTAGAATCCATAATTTCAAACAGTTGCAAGATTGGGCTACTAGTTCAAAAGTTACAGCCCTTTGAATTTTCTTTCGAAATTGGTTTCTAGTCCATAACTTTTGATTGAGAAGTCTGATCGAAAAAGTACGAATTGTTTTAGATTCTACGCACCAAAATTAATAAGAAAAAGTGTTTTCCCGAGAAATTTTGGTGTAGTCGATTTTTGGTAAAAAAGGAAGGTTATACACTGCCTTCTTTTGAGGCCCGCAAAAAAAATTGTCTCAGATCGACCCGGAAAAAAATTTTTCTTATAGAATGTGGCCTGTAGAATCCATAATTTCAAACAGTTCCAAGATTGGGCTACTAGTTCAAAAGTTACAGCCCTTTGAATTTTCTTTCGAAATTGGTTTCTAGTCAGGGGCGGGCCAGGTGGAATTGCATAGGTTACGGGCCATTAAAGTATTCGTGTAGTAATGAAGGTTGGGGGGAAGGGGGGGTTAGCTCTGCGGTGCACCACAAAAACATTTTTTGCTTAATTTTAAAGTACTCCTTTTTCGGAAATCAATTACAATACAGTTTTTTTTTAATTTATTGTAAAACACTTCAATTAAAACAGAATTTTTAAATTTTTTAACAACCTAACATCAACCCCAATTAGAGAAACGTGTTAATAATTTATTAATAGTGCAAGAAACTAAATTCAGCACATACTTATAAATTTCCAACGGGCCATTATGACGTACAGGCCAGGTGACAATTGCCCCCCCGGGCCAGTCCGCCCCTGTCTGTAATTAAGTCACTCCTTAAAGCATGTTCCATTTCTTAATCAAGGATAATATAGAAATCAATTTCCTTGTTAGGAAGAATGTGGTCCCTTCCGCCACCCACACTCGTACCAAGTTGCAAATTTCAAATGTTTTTTTTTCGTAATATTTAAATTTACGGATCAGTAAACTGCGATGCGATGGTAGCCTCAAAAACTTTCGGAATCGCAGACTGAATCGCAATAGGTCTATACTTTACGATATCCTTAGATGGCCCCTGCACTTTTGAATCGGAGTGGTTAGAACTTAGAAATTTTACATATTGCCCGAAAATTGCCATATGGCAACTTATTAACCCATTAATGCCCACCAAGCTTGTGAAAGATTAAAATAATTATTTATGATTGAATCTTGTCAAATACAGTTTGTTTTTGTCATTTATGCTTTATTTTGAACTTATTTCCCTAAAACGTAAGAAAAAAAATGGTGTACTCAAATGAGTACATCGGGCACATATAGAATAAAAATCAACAAAAAAAATATGTATTTAAAAAGTCAGTCGATATGACAAGAATTATTTCCGCGTGTGAAATATCTTGAAACAGTCTCTCTCAATACAAAGAGTAACATTACACTTCTCACAAGCCCATCTAATTCTGCTGTGACATACGCTACAACGTAGTTGATTCGACAATTTTTTGGGAAAGTGGCCTGTTGGATCGTCCAGTAAACTCCTAGGTAATGAACCGGATGGTCGACTTGAAGTTGATCTTCTTTGAATTGACTTGTTATAAGACCGTAGGTAATGACGGGTAACATTTCGTTGAAATAATAGCAAGTCCATAGGGTCTTGTGGGAAAGCGAGTTGGTATAGTCTCCATGCGTTGACAACAGTGACGTTTATCATGTGGGTGAAAAGAACCCACCACCACTTTTTGCCATGTATCGCAACACGGTAACCGTTGACTGACTGATCTAAAAGATCCACCCCTCCCATGAATGCATTGTATGTCTGAAAAAGCTTCGGTTGGGGTACTGATATCTTTTCCTTTTTCTTTGACGACCATCTTTTTACTTGTGACATTGGTTCAATGCCGTCGTAATTGGTCGCCATTGTAACGACGCTATTGTCATGCCATCTCACGAAAAGCAGAGAATTTTCTTTATCGTAACGATAATCGAAATTACCGCGGTCTTTTTTTTTCATCTGAGCGGAAGGAAGAATAGGACACTTTTTTGTACGGTTCTCTCGCACTGTTCCGGTAGCTCGTACACCGTTTCCTCTCAAAGTAGTGAGCAGGTCGTAACTAGTGAAATAATTATCAAAAAACACGATGTGATCAGTAGGTTCTTTGAGAACTTTTAAAAGATCAATTACCACCTGCGATCCCAGGGGAAGTGTAGACCTCGGAATTTCAACCTCACTATTTGTTGGCTTAGCACCACAGTAGGTGTCAAAGGCATAACAATAACCACTGGAGCTACATAGCATCCAGTCTTTATAGCCGAAGCGTACTGGTTTACCTTTGATGAACTGCTTTGCAGAATGGTGTCCAAAATATCGCACCATAGCTTCATCAATCGACAAACATTCGTGAAAAATCCCGAACTGTTGGAACTTATTATTTAGTAAATTCATCAATGGTCGTACTTTGTACATTTTATCACTTCTGTCAATCTGTGTGTTATCTGCCAAGTGTATATATTTTTTTATCTCCTCAAACCTATTTCTACTGATACAATTCGAAACAAATGGCACATTCACATCTTCGTCCAGACACCAATATAAACGGGCACGAGGTAACTTATGGTAACCACTAAAAAGAAGCACACCTACAAAAATCTTGATTTCTTCACCAGTAACTTGAAAGCTGTGATTATTGCTGGCAGTGGCGTATTTATTGGTTTGTTCTACTAGGAGATTGACAACTTGTTCATCAAACAGTTTTTCAAAAATTTGAATGACATTACAGCTAGACAATTGTTCTCGTACTTTTTCCAAACGAATAGAGTAGCCATTAGCGGATGTCATTTTCAAATCCACTGGTTCGCTACTCCACTTGGGCTGACTTATTTTTGGTTTTTTTGATAGTGTAGTACAAACCTGAGATAGTGGCATGTTATATTCTTCATCGCTATCATCCTCCATCGCTATTTCAATTTCTCCCGGAACATCTTGGGGAAGACTAGCTGTAACCAAATCGTCTTCGTCAAACTCCTCTTCGTCAGTTTGGTAATCGGGTTCTGGTGGAATAATTACCACATCAATTTCTGAGTTTGGGAATTTTGTATTTGCTATAGCATCTTCTGCAGACGCTAGTGTTGCGAACCTTTTTCCATAAAAAGATGAAGCGGAAATCGCATTTACTTGTTCCATCATAAAAGAATGCCTGAAAGTGAACACTTTATAGGAAGAAAATAACCGAAAATGTATCCTGCATTTGCCCATTGTACTCAATCGAGTACACCCATGTTTACCCCAACATAAAATCGGATGTAATAAAGCTTTCACTTACCTAACCGCAGAATCTTGTTTTTACACCTTTGTTTATAATATTCAAAACAAAAAAATTTCAAAATTTAACAATAAACTATAAATTTGAACAGTATTCTGTTATTGTCACGATTCAACACACAAAACCGGATGCACGTGTCTCTGTAAGTGGCTATTATCGTAACCTAGAATGAAAAAAGCGGCAAAATTGTTGTCAGAATTTATGCAGAAACTGCAAGGATCAGGATTCTGCAATTATACTTTCCATTATTAACCCATAGATTCCGCCTCAGTGCTAAAAAACAGGTGTACTCAAGCGAGTACAATGGGCATAAATGGGTTAAATTATCTACAAAGGTTCCCAAAATACTTCTATTAACCAAGGTTTTTCAATTATTTTCATTTCGATCTAATTATCCATCAAATTGATAAAGTGGCGTTGCTTGTTGGAAAGTCTCTGACACCTGACAGAAGATTGAAGCGTTTTTGAGCACCATAGGTATCAATTGTAACTTGTAAGTTACTTTTGTACTAGTGCCAAGTCGCCAGTTTGGTGAAACCTAAATTATGCGAAAGCGTCCGTGGATGCGAGCCGTAATGAATCACACCCCAAAAAAATCAGTAGTTACTTACCTCAATGCACCACGCCACTAGAACTCGCTTATACATTATTTATTTCATCTATTATTCTCGTTTTGTTAATATCCTACTATATTAAGTCGCATGTCTAGCTATTGTTTTAAATACTAGGTATTATGTATGTTTATCATTTTCTTGAATAGCTAGACCGAATTGAAAATAATTGAAAATTTTTTGTTGTTTGAGGAATTTTGGCTATGGCGCATTAAGACTTTGTAGAGAATTTAATAAGCTGTCATATGATGTAATAATGTACAGAGTGTGCCATATAAAAAAGTCGCATTTTTGTTATTATTAAAAAAATGCGATGTTCTTTTGTTGATTTCATTTCAAATTTGACTTCAGTAGAAAAAACAACGCAATTTTGATGATTTAACCGTCTCTCTGACTCTACAACTAAGAAAGTGGGAAATACGAGAGCAGAATCTTGACGCTCATTTCAATTGAAAGGATTAAAAATTTGGTACGATTCTATCCTAGAAGAAGGGATTTGGGATTGTTATGGTATTCATTTTATTTTTGAGAGGTTTTGATCCATTTTGAACAAAACTCAACTTGAACCATCACTATTGAGTTGTTCTCATGGTGCTGGAGGAACATATGCCTAATATTCCCCCCCTCCCTTTACCTATTAAAATTCAACACTCATGGTACTCGAGGTTAAATACCCCCTTGATTTAGATAGGGTAATTTTCCCAAATATCCAAAACAATCATGACAATTTCCTGTTAATTTTTAGTTTTTCCAGCGTTCTCACAGGCTATACCTCTAACCATTGAATTTATTAAATTCAATGCTCTAACCTCTACTGATTATTATAATTTGGGCTAAAATGCCGAGTAGATAATTGTTTATTACTTACCTGTCGTAGAGGTCTTTAGTTGTATTCTTCATCATGATTTGTAATGAGATACGCAAGGCTATGAGAATTATATTTTGTTTGGGAATGTATTGTAAACAATTGCAATTGTTTTCTCAAAGAACAAATTTACCCTAAAGCGGCAAGTGTCGTAAGAGTAGGTATATCAGATTCCTCTGCAGTTTCAAATAACCTAACCATAAGGCATGGAAATATAACAATCGCAACCGTAATGCACCACTTCTCCCATGACTTTCCTCTTTAGGTACTCTTTTTTGCTATTTTTTTTATCTCTTTGCTCTCTGTAAATTTGCATAGCGCGGTAGGGTGTTTCTATTGGATTAACAAAGTAGGTAATTTCCCAATTGACTTCGTCAGATGCAGGATGTGTGCAAAGTACCTTAATTGCAGAGTAACCAATAATTTTTGTAGTTAATAGCAGGGGTCATTAAACGACCGTTTCGGTTTGTTTTACCGTTCGTTTCATTTCATAATTTTGTTTAATCATTTTATATTTATAAACACTGGTCGACGCAATTTAGCCAATTAATCTAACGGAATGTGTATTGGAATAATTAGTCATGAATGAAGGTGCATGAAGGTAATGAGAACTTGTTCCAGCGTTATTTTTAAAAATTTTTTCAGCGGTGATTTCTAATCACATGATCTTTCTTCTATAGGTCATAGGTTCTTTGCAGTTGGATCAGTGGGAGGTATATTTATTATAAAAGAGGAGATCAAGTCTCTCGTATATCTAATATACCTACTATTTTTGTATCCCTAAAAACAATTATTAGATACGACCATTTGAGATTGAGGTAGAGGGTAAACCAAATACACAAGTGGAGATGAGTTGTAAAGGGTGGGTTGAGCTCGAGGGATGAGTATTCCTTTGCAAACCATGTTCTTTTATAAACTGATTTCAGTGAACGGTTTTGCACCTATCTAGTTTATTAAGGGCAACTTTCAAATTTGCAGGGATTTTCCAAATTGGAGTAATTATTCTTCAAACAGAGCTTCGACCAGAGCTCTGACTATAACGATTTTAGGCAATCGGTGAGGTATGATGAAGTCATATATAAAAAGGTGTCAAAGATAATGGATCCTAACCGTTTGTTAGAACTTTAAAAGGGACGACCTTGCGTTATGTAACAGACTAATGATGTTGCCATTGTTTTCACCTATTGCAATTACACGGAACAAATTACTCTAATATTGTGACTTGCGTATAAATTAGATATTTTGCTAGTTTTGACCCTTGTTATCCTAATCTAAAAGGATCTCGAGGTTTAATTGTTTTTTAGTTCATTTTTAATGTGGAAGATTTAATGTTGAAAATGTTAATGCAATTATTTAGTAGTAGAGATCTTTACGACCAGACATATATAGACTAAATAGACATAAAACTTTCTCGTCATTGCCATGCATCGCACCTAATACAATAACAACCAACCGTGAGTTGTTAGGCATTATTACGTTATTGTAATCTGAAATACTTTTCTACAATGCGCTTTCAGGAAATTTCTCATTATTTACAATGTTAATGATCATTGGCATTGACCAATGTAGCAGCACTCTCTCATAAATGAGCACATGCTCGAAATATTATTTATGTATATTGTAAGTGATAGTGTTCTATGGCAGAAACTAGCAATCGAAATTTACCATTCCACATGTTTTCGCGCTTTTCCCATAATTAACATTGAGGGAATACACATGTTGGTTTGAAAGTAAAAGCACTTACGGAATAAAGTAATTTCACCTTTACTTGATTCTCCAAAATCCTGAAATTGCTGAACGTCTTTTGTAGCAAGAAACTGTTGGAATGTACCTAACCTTTAGCAATGGGTTGCTTATTGTTAATAGTTCAGTCAGAACATCGTGCTATTAGTTTCACATCATGAATCAGTTTTATCAATTGTTTATAGCATCTATATACTTCAGGTGCGTGAAGTTAGCACGGTAATGGAAGTACTAATGAAGGCTTATCTTTGGTATCGTTTACTGTAAAGCTTCTTCCATTGGCCCTTGGAGATATCCGTCAACGTGAATGTTGGTTTCGTCACAAAAGTCCTTCGGGAATTTGTTGTACAAAGCCACTGTCCCATATAGTCATCCATGTAGGGAACTCGCCTATTTTTTTCGCCACATGGTCGGTGCAACATATATGGGGTAATTATTTGGTACAAAACATTTCGTTAGTGCGTCCAAAAGTGGTGCGAAGTTAGCACATGAGAACATGTATCCTGTACCTCAAAAAAGGGCGGACGTGCTGGGTTACTTTTTGTCCATACTCGAGCACTAACGATTAGAACAATGAATTTCGTTAGTGCTTCCAAAAGTGGTCTGTAGTTCGCACGCAAAACAGGAACCCTGTTCTTCAAAAAGGGGCAGACGTGCTGGGTTACTTTTTCGTACATAATCAAGGACTAACGACTGTAATGTAATATTTCCTTAGGGCTTCCATTAGCCTACCAGCTTCACGCACCTATCTATTTCTAGTATGGATTATTCATTTTGCTCTGCTTATAGTGTACCCTCGAGTGTACCTTTTTTCTTTTGCCAGGAAAAATAGAGAATTTGCATCAGAAATACATGCTTTCGTAGGTCTTGTTTTATGTGAAATGATCCGTACATGTAGGTACTTTTTATTAGGATTAGTTCATCTTCGGAGTGGCTGAAGAGGTTCTGGTTCTTTGACGTTTCCGTAATATTTACAGCTTTGCCGATGCTGTGGTAAATGTTCTATTACTGCGATAAAATTAGTCATACCAGATGTACCTATTAGCGCTACACAACATCCTTCAAGTATCAACTACTATTGTTCCCAAACACAATGGATCTGCAGCGGGTCCAACCGCCAACGAGTGCTCTCTTATAAAAAAATACACAAAAACGTATTTTCGATATCTTGGTCCAATCACGAACAGCATTGATTGTCATATGGTAACAGTAAACAATTACATTATCGCCAAAATTATTTTTGTGCTCATTTTGTTCTGTAGTAGAATACACTTGCCTTTTTTTGCATGGCCACCTCACTATATTATGTAAATTACATAATATGTTATATTATACCAGCAATAGCGAAAATTTTCGAAAGAGTGATCTATACTAGACTTTATTCCCATCTCAGCAGTATAATTGCAGATCAGCAGCACGGTTTCACGCGGAACAGATCAACGATTACAAATTTAATGCAGTTTACGCATTTCTCAGCAGGAGCCTTGGATGAGAGAGCCCAGGTTGACTGTGTTTATACAGATTTTGCGAAGGCATTTGATACAGTATCCCATCAAGTCTTGCTCCGTAAACTTGTTTTAAATTGCGTAAGTAATCCGACCGTCAAATTCTTAAAATCATATTTATCTCTCCGTAAAACAAGAGTGAAATTCAATGGTGTGAATTCAGCCGAATTTTATCCCTCATCAGGCGTTCCCCAGGGAACACTTCTTGGTCCTTTTCTGTTTCTCTTATACATAAATGATTTACCGCGAGTGATAAAAAACTCGAAAGCACTACTATTTGCGGACGACCTAAAACTTTTTAATAAAGTCCAATCCCCAAGTGACTGTTTAAATATTCAAGAGGACATTAACTCAGTAATTAAGTGGTGTATCAAAAATAAACTAAAACTAAATATCAATAAGTGTAAAGTCCTTACTTTTACTAGATCGAAAAATCCCTTACTTTTTGACTATAAGATGAATGGAAAGGTCTTACTACGAGTCACCTCCGTTAAGGACCTGGGCGTAATTCATGACACCCCTTCAAGATATCCATGCTGTCTTGTATCTTAAAAATAATGGGGTACATTAAACATTTGCTAGATCAGACATTTTTCATTTGGGAGCTTCGAAGTAGGTATTTTCATAAATGGGACCAAAATGCTCAGTGTTCGAAATGATGACAGATTCTTCTGCATTTCCTTTACGATTTTGAACAATTTTTGTCAATATTAGTCGATAAATAAATATAAAATTTATCTGGGTCAAGTGAAAATTGAAATCTACATGAAAGTACGAATATGGCCATACTATGTGTCTGTCTGTACTGTGATACAACGTGATTAGTCTTTCATTCCCTGTAAGGAAGTGTTGAACGTTTCTCTTCTCCCCCTCGGAAGATTTGCCCCCAGAATATGCACCCCGGAAAATTCGCCCCTTAAAGATTCGCCCCAGAAAATTCGCCTCGGAAAACTCGCCACGGAAGATTCGCTCAAGATTTCTTATCGGTCAAATTCGCCCCAAAAGTGCTCGGCATTTGAAATATTTGCCCTCAGAGTAGTTCAGGAGAACCCTCCCCCGCTGGAATAGTGTCTTGCCAGGATCTTGCTCAAAGGAAAATAATCGTTTTTGACAGAATTGTAACGCGTAGCATTGTAAAATGGTTTTCAGTTTCATGTTGAGATCCACAACTGAAAGCAACCAGTGAAATTCAACCTTCATCCCAGAGCTTACCCTTAAAGAATAATTACCTCGGACAAATTACATTCAAAAAGAAAACGCACTTTCGGTATAATTGCTAATAGGTATAAGATCTAAAAATATTACAAATAGGAAACTATAATATCTAGATTTGAAATGTCAATGTTTAAATTTAACTCCATTTTTTTAGTAAAAAGAGGAGCAACTCTTAGACTAGAAAATTATCCAAATCAAAACAGGATTCTGTAGAAAACAACGGAGCTATAATTGTTAAACGACTATCAAGGGGCGGTTTTCTGCCTTATCTGCAACAAACCAGAAGGATAGAATCACAATGACATAGTTGGCGACGCACCCCCTCCAACCCCCGGCGCCCCAACCACCCCAACTTTTAAATCTTTTTTGATTTGCACGATAAGTACTAACCTAAATGTAATGCTATTTGGTATAGTTGGAAAGCATTTTTTCAGAGCTTTCCAACGACGCGACGGACGTATCACACATGGGGGTCACTATTTAAAATTTAAAAGTTGGGGTGGCTGAGCGCAGGGGGTTGGAGAGGGTGCGTCGCCAACTATGTCATTGTGATTCCCTCTCCGAATTACCGAAAAGGATTTTGATTTTTTTAAATATCTCGTTTATTTACTAAGACATGGGGGGTGGTAAGTTTTCAAATAATCAAAACGCTCAAATCCACGAAGCAATGCTTTCGGTCATAGGTATACTAAGGAAAGTAATTTAGGAAGATATACTGACCAGAGCGGGCCATTCACTCCGTAAAGGAATAAAATACGTTAACTTTTATGTTGAGTCCGATATGCGACTACTGGCGGGTTCGTAAGGTCTCGCTGTACTACAACTGCTTGCTTTTTCAGCTCGAGGAAACTTTTTACCGTAATCGCACAATACGCGTTAAACTTCTCACAAAGTTTGGTTAACTTGATTTTGCACAAATTTGTTATAGTGACGAACTGGGTTTTCATCAAAACAAATAGGGCTGAACTTAAAAATATGTACGCGCTTTTCAACCGTCGCGAAACCAGCAGTCTGCTTTTCTAGTTGTCTCCACTATTTAAGAAAACGCCACATCAGCACCAGATGAGCATTTCCTTGGAATTAATTAACTTTTCCGTGATAACCACTCCCTATTGCAAACAAATGAATAAAAACCCCTTTACAAAGCACGCAAACTTGAGCAGATGTGTCTTAGTTAAGGCATCTTTTTTAAATTGAACAATTTAAAAGCAATAAAATTAAAACAAAAACTACGCAATTATAAACAATTCTAAAACGAATAACAAACACTGAGATACAAATTCAAATAAAACGAACTATCTTATGTATTTATTTTGTAAATAATCTCCCAGATGTATTTAATAACTGTAATATTCGCATGTACCCTTTAATCAGCCCTGTGACGTATCACTAACGTTAAACTTAACGTGCAGGGTATCTGTAAAAAATGGCATTTTGCCTATACTAAATAACGCAAAATAACGTTTTTCGGCAGATAACCTGCACGTTAAGTTTGATGTTTCTGATACATCACAGGGCGGATTCAGCCTGCTGATAACCTGCAGGTTATCTACCAAAAAACGTTATTTTGCGTTGTTTAGTATAGACAGAAAACCTGCGCGTTAAGTTTAACGTTAGTGATACATCACAGGGCTAATTGTGGTGTGATGTGTATCCGCTACCATATGTTCCACCACAGTACAATTACTATTATTTCTGTATGGACAATGTATACCTTCACTGTTTTGTATAGTTATAGTATTTTTTCCAAAAATTCTCACTTACGTCGGAAAGGTCATTGGTATCGGATGGTCTTTAAATATAAAAATACTCTTGCGCTTTGAAATTATACCAAAGATGTCTGCTGCAGGAGTTCTTGCCTGGAAATTTGCTATATTAATTTATTTTAATTAACGAGCATCTGTATTTGCCACCATATCTATTTGTATATCTGAATGATGCCTTGGAATTAACATATAAAAATGTTTAAGGAGAATTACACGTTTGTTAATTGAAAGCGTTTTAATTCCAGATAACAGCGATTCCGATCACCATTACGAAACCCTGTGCAATACTCAAGAGGAACCTGATCATGACGGCTTCGACTCATTCGATAGCGACACGGAATCCGAACGCTCTCTTGATAAAGTTCAGGTAACTCTCGAAAGAATATTGGCGTTTAACCAATAAATTCCCTTTGCTTAGAATGATAGCTGGGTCGATTTGGGCAACTCGCAATTACCTGACCCGCCCACTAGTCAATCATACGGGCTGACTCAACTTGCCGTGTCTGCTGGTAAGCGGTTACGCAGAAACTGGTCGCTCACCAAAAACATCACAAAGTCGCTCACGCGAATGACAAAGCGAAAATCGAGAACGGACCTAACGATAGGCGGTAAGTCATTGTTTGGCTGTGTACTAATTTAGTAATTGTAATTTGTGCAGCAGTCGAGAAGCAATCCGAAGAAAACTCAAATACCAATCCCAAGCAGCCAATTTCTAGTCCAGTGAAGAGCGAACGCAATAGCTCTTTACTTAACATAACTCAAGAACTCAAATTGAGGCAAAATGAACTGTCTTCAAACATTGCCTATCAAAACATTCAAATTGCGAGCAGAGAGACTGAACCGACCGTAAATTTTGAGAAATCCAGATCTAACAGTTTGTCTAAGAACAAATTTTTAAATAAATTCAGACGAAGTATGTTAATTAACGCGGATTCTACCGAATGTATACAAACTTTAGGCAACAAAATGAAAAGTACGTTTTATTTAACAGATCCTATTGAAGTCGATAATAATCAAACGGACGCGTTAAAGTCGAAGGCGGCGATTACCACATCTGTTAGTCCTGTAGCGCTACGACATTCAAAATCGTGCCAGAGACCGCAGAGTCCACCACCTCCTGTACCTGTTGATGCAAATCAAAATGTAGGCAAGTACAATAATGCTTACTTAATAATAGTGATGGGAGTTCATTGGAAGAACTAGACTGTATCACTTCTGTGCTAATTATTTTCTTTAATTATAACTTTGTATGTACCTAGGTACATTAATTGTAGGGAAAGTAAACTTTCATTTGCATTTTTGTATAATCGCAATGTTCCATTACGCCAAATAATAAAACAAAACAAACCATCCTTGACAATGGGAGTAATGTTAACGGAGTATACATACAAATTTCATGTGAATATTTTATTATTAAGATGTACACTTCCAAAACTCACTTTTTAAGGCTAATATTCGTTAAGAAAAGAGGTGATCTTTTCAGCTCCTCAAACTCGAAGGATCGAGGTATAGCTATATTTTAAGTATAAGCATCTGATTGTATTCTATCCCTTATGTCTACTGAAGTATCGCCAATCTGATTTATGGCCACCCAATCTCCACAAAGCGCTCTGAGCCCCAACCTCTACCACTATCTGTAGAGGTTCAAATCCCAGTACAATAGTGTCGCCTCTAAAGTGAGCACTGTTTTCCTGATGTATAATGTTCTTTTCTGTCTAGCTTTCCTTGGTGTAAAACGTTGTTATGCACTTGCGAAAGTGAAAGTAATCTATGCATGCTATTGGTGGTTTGTATTCAACGAAGTGCAAACCACATGAGTACATTTGAGTTAACAAGCAAATGTAGATCTAAATATACTGACTGACCAGTTAGTTCCATTAAAAGCTGTATTTCCTTCTACAACTACAGCAATTTCTTATAGGTACCTATCAGGCAAATGATAACTTTTGGTGTAGTTGTTGGATCATGATAAATGTAACTAAAAATTTTTTTCTATAGATATTGAAGACAAGGTTACACACTTCTCATTATATTATTAGAGACTGGTTTTTAGGATGTGGTAGGTTATAATTTTATTCAAATCCCAAATTGAGATTTAAAGATTGTGTTCAGAACTTTAACCTTCGCATATAATTTTTAGTTAAGCGCAAATTTTTGAATTCAAATTCGATTTGGGAACATTTGCGTACGAATAACGGAAGATTTTCAAGTTCAAACTCAAACTCACATCCAAAATTGCGAGTGTTGCGATCAAATTGAGAATTTTAATCTAAAATTCTAGTTACTGCCATCTAAGTTCAAACTTTTGAATTAACATTTTAAGTCGTTTAGACTATTTTCAGCTGAAATTCAATTAAGTTTGAAGAGTTCAAATTGTAGGCTTGAATTCCAACAGTTTATGGGTTTCCAATTAAGAGTGAAATTATGCTCTATATTTAGTAATGGCTGATTGAAGTGATTTAAATTCAATTCTTTTAGTGCTAATTAAAAATTTACATTTCAACTGGTTACCATAATTTCGTTATAGGTACATATAGAAGTCAAATACAAACTTGGGACTTACTGAGTAGTTTAATGAGAATACTCAACTTCAGAATGGGTTTGAAATGTACGCCTTTTATTGATTGGAAAATTCTATTCTTTCAATATTTTTACCACCCGCACGTTAGTGAGGGAGGTATTGCATTGGGGTAAAAAATGACCTCCCCCCACTTATGACGGAAATACACGTTTTAGAGCACCAGGAATCTGAATCAGACAAAATCTCGATGACGTTGGTGGGCCTGTCTGTGTGTACTCTCATTTCCGGCTAAACAGCTGAACTGAATGGAACCAAATTTGGTACACATTAGTCTTAGCCATAAAACGAAGAGCTGAAACGCTTTTAGGCAGAATCGCATGGTGCGGGTGGTATATGTGCTAGCCACAGCAAATTTTTTTTATTTGATTGCGACTACCAAAGTTTACAGGCACCTCTGATTTTTTTGTTATTAAAACCCTATTCTAAACATCGTTGGTATTGATCTACATACGTTTGCATATGTACCAATTCAACCGCAATGCCAACAGTGGTTCATATTAACAATCATTTGGTATTGTTTTCCCTGTATAGGTACCTAGTACAAATACAGATTGGTCTAAGATCTACATTTGCTTGCTTTGCTGATGCATCCTTTGTAACTAAGATCTGAGGATTTTGTTGTGCATTCATCGCTGCAACCCTTCAACTTTTGCTTCTGGTCCCATCTTCTGAAATATACACACTTTTTTGAAATGAGATTGTGAAACCTTTTATAAGTTCCTCCGCTTGGCTCTATAGCGGGAGGAGTGAGGGACCCACTCAATAGAGGTTTACCCACTAAAACCCTTCCCCTATGCCGTAGGTTCAATTGTAGACCGTATCGTCTTTTATCTCGGGCGCTTAAACACCGTGCAACCTGCACTCTGTTTAGTTCTCACTGTGTCCTGTCAAAAATGGAGTGCGGTAATAAATCACCTCACCATGTTCACGTGTCACCCAACCTTTCACATCCGGGATGATAGTGTCTTTGCGTCTTTGTCCAAGACTCCCTCGCACGCCACATATTTGACCACTCCACGACTAACCAGTTAAATCGTACGCATGCACCAAAACTATGTCCTACTAATTCTTATTGAGAAAAGTTTCAGCACCTTATGTTAACTCTTTTCTGGTTCGCGTCCCGTTTCAGGACCGGGTGCCGAATTTCGGCGGCATAACCATGATAGAAATCGCTGCTGTGGTCATCAACCTCCCCTCGCGGTCTCATCCATGTGTTCAATTGTCTTATCTCGGGCGCTTAAACACCGTGCAACCTGCACTCTGTTTAGTTCTCACTGTGTCCTGTCAAAAATGGAGTGCGGTAATAAATCACCTCACCATGTTCACGTGTCACCCAACCTTTCACATCCGGGATGATAGTGTCTTTGCGTCTTTGTCCAAGACTCCCTCGCACGCCACATATTTGACCACTCCACGACTAACCAGTTAAATCGTACGCATGCACCAAAACTATGTCCTACTAATTCTTATTGAGAAAAGTTTCAGCACCTTATGTTAACTCTTTTCTGGTTCGCGTCCCGTTTCAGGACCGGGTGCCGAATTTCGGCGGCATAACCATGATAGAAATCGCTGCTGTGGTCATCAACCTCCCCTCGCGGTCTCATCCATGTGTTCAATTGTCTTCAGGAGCTTGCGGATCACGCACTGCTACCGTAGAGTCTACAAATCCCACCATTTCTACCCCATTCGCGGTTGGTATCCCCAGTACCCCATCTTACATCACGATCCACCAGCGACCTGAGAACCTGTGGTGTAGTGTGGGGCAGGAACGCGTTCCCAATTTGCTTTTTCCAAGAGTATATATGAGGGTTGTCCGTAAATTAAGGTCTCCAATTCGTTTTACATAGTAAAGCTCTTTTTATTGCAACAAATTACAGATTCTGAAATCTTTGACTTTTATCTACTTTTTTGATCGTAGTCCTCGTCATTTTTGGCCCTTTCGTGACTTGAGAATTCAAACGAACGTTCAAGTATGTGTTCTTTATAGACTCACTGTAGTATGTGTATGTGGCAATGCCGTCCACAAGGGTTACTCATCTCATTGTCTGCCTAAATTGCAAGGATTCGCACAGTGCACGCTCGAAGGATTGTCCACCAATCCTCAAACCGGAAACGGCTATCCAAGAACTGAAAACACGTGAGAATTCCCCCAAATGTTGTTTCAAGTTTGGGAAGAAATAGTATAGTCAGTGGGGGCCAAATCAAGGGTGTACAGATGATGGTCAATGATTTCTCCTCGAATTTGGCACTGAGATCCGTCGTTGTGAGGGCGGTCGTTGCCATGTTAGAAACGAACTCCCTTTCTCAGCTGGCCCTTCGTTTTGTTCTCTATCGCCCGATGTACAGTTGGTCACGAAACGTAAGCACTAGTTTGTGAACCAAATTTTCGAATATTTGAAATTGTTACCGTCGCTTATGTTGACATGTGATATAGAATAAAGAATTCGTTTGAAATTTGTTTACAAACTAGTGACGCATGGCTCAACTGTAGCCTTGTTAGGGCGTCACAGTTTCTTTCCGCATCGTTTGTTGTACCTACTTCTTTTCAGATCAGCAGAACTCATTTCCTGTCCCAGAATACCAAAGCCATCGCCTTCCTCGCTGATATGGAGTTTGCTTGAACTTATTGACACTTGAAAAACTGGAATGCCGCCATTATTTTGATTGTTCCTTAGTCGTTGGCGTGATGTAGTGGATCCAAGTATCCTCTCCCATTACCAACGAATCCAAAAATTCCTCACCTTCTTCGACATAAAAACACGCGAGCACTTTCGATATGCTTCTTTTTGTGATCAGGGAGCATCCGCGTCACCTACCTGGCATTACACCCTGTGAACTGTAAAATATCGTTCAAAATCTTGTCTATGATAGTCCTATTTGTTCATTAATCTTTCGCACAGCCACACGCCGATCCGCAAGTAAAAGTTCCTCAATTTTTGTCACTGTCTCATCTGGGACGCCCACTGCCGGCATTGGCTCGCATGTTTGTATGGCCTTCTGCGAACTCCCTCTACCACTTACGCCAATATTTATGATCATACATTTTTCTCCATGCACATTAGGCGGTGGATTTCAAATAGGGGTCGACTAATGAATGTTCACTGTTATATTATTATTCTTGGTACTCTGCTTACTAGTTTATAGTTTATTACTAGTAGATAGCTTAAAACTAATATAACGAGTGCAATATTTGGTTACACACTGTTTTTAAGGCTAAAAATCGATGAAAATTTTGGACAACACCTTATGAAGGGGCGGGGATTCTGGATCACCTATGTCCTATGTTATTCAAACATAGTGAGAGCTCCCACACTGGAAAATTTACACTACTGCCGAGGACCGATCCGTGCGGCACTCCCGCACTAGATGTAAAGGTGTATTCCTCATCTGACCGTTTCGTTGCGTAGACGAAACGGTGTAGGTATGAGGTGGTCCTACACAATCCCCACCAGATAATCCGGCACTTTTAAGTCAAAGCAACGCTTTCACCTTGGATGTTCTATTCGCTATTTGTTAAAGGCACGTCTAATCAATAATCATGCCAGCAGGCATTGGTCTTCCTGGGTGCCTTTATTAGCCGTCTCACCATACCACGTCTTCAATTCTTGCCTTACATTATCTTTTCTAGAACTTTACCTGCTTTCTCCACCCTTGGGAATCAGCGCTAGCATGCACTTTTCCCACTTATCCGGGTGGACTCCCGTCCATATCATTTCATTGCTTCATGTACCTGGACGATCGACTGCCACCGCTTACACCACCCTCGCTGGTATTCTGTATTACTTCTGTAAAAACGATTCATACCTACTCGTATTGTCTACTGTAATAACTTCGTAAACCCCTTTGTATTCTATGGAAATAACGGAATGTCAATTGTACTGACAGCTCAATGCGCATGATCGGTGTTCTACTAGTTCAAAAGTTACAGCCCTTTGAATTTTCTTTCGTAATTGGTTTCTAGTCTATAACTTTTGATTGAGAAGTCTGATCGAAAAAGTACGAATTGTTTTGGATTCTACGCACCAAAATTAATAAGAAAAAGTGTTTTCCCTAGAAATTTTGGTGTAGTCGATTTTTGGTAAAAAAGGAAGGTTATACACTGCTTTTTTTGAGGCCCGAAAAAAAAATTGTCTCAGATCGACCCGGAAAAAAAATTTTCTTATATGTGACCTGTAGAATCCATAATTTCAAACAGTTCCAAGATTGGGCTACTAATTCAAAAGTTACAGCCCTTTGAATTTTCTTTCGAAATTGGTTTTTAGTCCATAACTTTTGCTTGCGAAGTCTGATCGAAAAAGTACTAATTGTTTTGGATCCTACGCACCTGAATTAATAAGAAAAAGTGTTTTCCCGAGAAATTTTGGTGCAGTAGATTTTTGGTAAAAAGGAAGGTTGTACACTGCCTTTTTTTGAGGCACAAAGAAAAAATTGTCTCAGATCGACGCTATCTCCCATAATATAATATAATAATAATAATAATAAAGCCTTACATTTAACAAAATGAAATAAAGGGAAAGCAAAAAACACTAAATAAAGGTAAGAAAGCTCAAAAGGGTATGAATTCGGCTAAGCCCTCTTTCAATTCATCCTTTAACATCAAGTAAAGAACACTGTAATCATCTTACAAGTTAGTTTCATTTACAAATTCCACTACTTCTCGGCAAAATAATTAAAATTGGTATTAAAAAATGCAGTAGGAATTGAATTTAATAGCAATGGTGCCATATAGCTAAAACAACCCTCAAATTTTTTAGTTTTGTGCTGTGGTGTAGTATATGAGTCTACTCTTAAGTTAAGGCTATGAATAGCAGATCTTTTAATCAACAGGTTACATAAATACTGTTGGCATAGATTTAGTGGCTGCATCAGGGTGGCATATGCCCGGTCTTATTGCATACTATAAATTTGCTATCGTTGGGCATTTATATTTGAAGTGACACTTCTTCCCACAGTTGAAGCACTCGTTCTTGGTGTCTAGGTCGTCACTTTTTGGGTGGATTCCCCAACACATCTGGCACTTGTTTATTTCTATTTTTTTCCGTACTGGGCATTTCGTGATCCCAATCCACAAATCGTTTATTTCTATGACTTCCAGCTGTTCCTCACTAATGCTTCCTTAACCGCCGCCTTGTTGAAGCAAAAATTTTTGATTGAATGGAGCTTTTTTTATTACTTATACAAAGTAGCAGCACAATGGTATCATTTTTCTTTGCTGTGTACTAACGAGTAACTTACTTTTCAGATTCCCGCACGGCAAAAACGACAAGAAGGTCAACGTCATGGTATGCCGAGGTTGGTCTGTTCAGAAATTCTGAAAATCCGGCTATGAGACATTCCGACAGTATTAATATATGCCCTAGAAAGCCAAATACCAGCTGGTATGCAGAGATAGGGCTATACCAGTCCTCTTCGAGCACCCCCAGTAGCAGTTCAACGGAGAACAGCGGTAACACTACAAATTTGAAGCAGTTTGAAGACAGCAAGGCCAGTGAAGATTACTATAATATCAAAAATGAAAGCGATTACTATAACGATAGTAGTATTGGAAGCTTTAATTCTGATACCACAATAGACAAGAACTCTATGTCTGCCGATATGCAATTACGATTGCAAGATGAGCCGTTGTATCAATTTTATGATGCCGCAGTTTTAGAGGTGTGTTCAAGCTTGTCGGTGCCAATTTCTAATCGAATTTTGTGTTTTTAGTCAGTCTGTCAAGATGGAACGTCGGATTTTGAATATGATGGCTACGAGGAAGTCGGTGAGAAGCAGAATTCCGAAATGAACTTGACGAGACCTTCTGCAATGCAACTTATAGCTTACAGCAAGAACGGTTTTACTATTACACGTACGTTATGGTGTGAGATTCCGGAAGTCGTGAACTCTACTGTTCTTAGTAAGTAATTTTTGAGGCAATTACGAGATGTAACACAACTACTTCTTAGGCACGCTAAGTTTAAATCAGAAGAAGATTCAAGAGGCGAAATTTGAAATGATGACCTCGGAGGCTTCGTATTTAAACTCATTGAATTTATTGACTGATTATTTCATTTCCAATATAAACAGTAGCGATTTTGTAAGGAATGAAGAAAAGACTATACTTTTTGGAAAGATTGCCGCTGGTATGTCAACTAAGCTGTTTTTAACTGGTACCTTTACAGTGTTCTTACAGTAAAACAGTGTTCAGAAGAACTCCTATCAGATTTGGAGAAATGTTGGCAAGGAAATATTTTGCTGCACGGAGTTTGTGATATTGTAAAAAAGCATGCGCAGGAACACTTCGATGTGTACGTTCCTTATTGTGAAAATCAAATATTACTGGACAGTACTTTAAAAAAGATGAGAGAACGAAATAGCTGTAATGACTTACTGAAACGACTCGAGTGCAGCTCAGAATGTCACTCGTTAACGTTGTACTCATTTCTCATGCTTCCAATGCAGCGAATTACTCGCTGGCCGCTTCTGGTTGACGCGGTTTTGAAAAGGCTTTCCCCACAAGACGATGAGTATGTGTCGTGCCAGCACACTCTAGCCACACTGAACGGGGTAAGAGATCATTGTTTAAACTTGCAATTGTGTAACTTTCAGTTTTAGATTGTTACAAGGTGTAACGAGGCAGCGCGTCGAATGGAAAGGGAATCGGAGGTCAAGAGAATAGCAAAGCAAATTGAATTTCCGCGCGGGATACCGATCATAAAACTGGTTACGAACACAAGGTGGTTGGTACGATCTGGACCGCTAATTCAAATGGTCGCCAGAGCAGATGACAATAAGTTGACTTTTGGGAAGCGATTTAGTAAAACGTCTCTTTATTTTTTTCTCTTCAACGATCTGTTGTTGGTCACAAGTCACAGAAGGTAACTCTTTAGCTAATCTTAAAATCTTAGCTTGTATTTGTCACCATGTTAATTATTCTCAAAACCACCTACTTTTAGTGACGATTGTTACGTGGTACTCCATTACTGTTACCGAAGCTACATAGAGCTGAATATTAATGACGTAATCAGCTCAGTGCCAGCAAAAGATGCGCAAGGAAAGCACTTGCTGTTCTTAACAATCTTGGAAAATCACGACAAGAAAACCGTAGAAATGGTAATCTGACTTACGACACTAACCCATTTTGCAACACTGCTTTTAGCTACTATCCTGCAATAGTGAAAGTGACAAGGAGCGTTGGATAGAGGCGCTGTCTGCGCCGAAGTCTGAAGACCCCGACGAAACCTTGTACGAGTGCTGGGATTGCCCGCAAGTTACCGCCATTCACCCTTACATTTCGAGCCAGCCGGACGAACTCCCGCTGGCGAGAGGCGATATCGTTAACGTAACGCGTAAAATGGCGGACGGTTGGTATCATGGCGAACGAATTAGGGACGGCGAAACTGGATGGTTTCCGGCGAACTATACCGCCGAAATAGCGAATCCTCACGTACGCGCGAGAAACTTGAAGCAAAGGTATCGACTTCTTGCACTATCTGAAAATTACTTAAAATCCAAATAACTGCGGGTGCCTGATTGTTACTGTTTTTAGCATCTTTTTTGTATTATATGTACCATATATTATTAAAAAAATATTTAAATTAGTGTTTTATATTAAATATGTACATTTTTATTGTTGCATTGCATTATTTTTTAAAATAAAAAATTGAAAAAACTCCTGAAACTTGAGAGAGAAATTGGTAACGTTAATGGAGGTGCATGAGGCGAATTTTTTGGTTTTTAAACTTGCGCGGTTGTGCATGGTTTTGGTATGTGATTGTATTAGTCCGTAGAGTGTGTTCATATATTTGTGGGATGCAAATAAGGCTAATTAGCCGTACAAATAACTTGGTTCATATACTCATTTCAATTAAGAAGGTAATGGTAGAAAGCACAGGGAAGCTTTGACCTTCAATGTGATTGGTTAAAACACGAGTCAGTATTACCCTGCAAATAAAACGAGTGACAAATTTTGTAAATTCGGCAGTTTGTGTTGCCAACTAAACTGTCGAACTGTCATTAGTGTTAATGTCAAAAATCCAAGCGTGGGATTGTTTGATTTATTTCTGTTCGCAGTTCTGGATATTTCTACTTTACAATAATTTGGTCTTATTTTATCTTTTTCCCTGCGTGTCTTCAAACACAGCGCCATCTACTACCTTCTTACAATGAATGCAGTGTAGGTGTAACGTAAGCGACTGCTAGATTATAAATGTATGTTGATTAACGTGTATATTGCAGACATTTCATCTTTAACTGTGTTTATCTTAATATAGGTATACGTTTCTCATTAATCTACGTTCATTATTCTACATGGCCGCAGCATGAGTCGTAAGAAAAATAAGAAGAAAATTGATGAATCATGTGGTGAATTGCAAGAGAATTCGTCATTCGCCCGTAGACACATTTCGTTCCAACCACCGGCTCAATTTGACTTCCAGCGCCCAGAAAAATGGGAAAAATAGTTTAAAAGGTTCGAAAGGTACCTACCAGATGGCCTCGCGGCTTGATCAGGAGCCAGAGGAAAAACAATTGATTTCTTTCATTTATTGTATGGGGGAGAATGCTGAAGATATATTGACTCGCCCCAAATTCTTGAGGAAAAACTCATCTCCTATAAAACGGTAAAGGCCGCATTTGACGAAGCTTTTATAGGGGTGCTAAATTTAATTCTCGAAACCAGAAAAAGGTTTTTGAATAGTCTCTCACCGATACAGTTTGATGGCCGACCTACATAGAAAATAGGTACAAGAATTGCGCGAATCCTTGCAACTTTCATTAGTGAGCAAGAGGATGACGCGACGTACCTTGGAGCGTTGAATACGATTGGTGGAGTTTCCATTGCTTCAATAAGTGGTCAGTATGACAGTTCTCAAAATATGTGCTTTGAGGAATCCTACCATGTGCAATAAACTCTATTACCCGAAACAATCGTGGTCGATAAAAATCGCCCTGTAGATACCGCGCTACTACGATACCCTGTCAATCAATGACCTGACAGTGGACGGGTGTGAGAATAACGTAGGATTTTCCTTACTTTGTGTGTACGTCATCAATTTTTTTTGGGGAATATTGTACCTAATCCCAACGTAGGTATTAATACAATAAAAAAAATCATTTTAAGCCACAATAAACGTTGGAATTAGGTGTTCTGTTAGACTGTTCATTGTTCAATGTAGTTCACAAAATATATAGGTTCTTGAGTTACCTATGCGTTAGTTAAAAAATAAAACCAAAAAACCCTGAGCGAAAAGGATTTTTTTTGTTTTCAGGGTACTTCATAGATACTCTCTTCTCTTTTAATATCTATGGGTTACCTTCCACTCGAAATTATAGTAGTTGATGTTTACATTGCGACACGTCAAATTTGACACTTGTTTCCTACCGATTTGAAGTCAACAAAATGACTACTGGTGAACGGCGCTTGCGCTGTATTAAAATTCATGGGGAAATCCGAAAGAAATCATATATCTTGATCGGTAAACAGGCTGTGGTTCGATTTTTACGAAAATAGGAAGATCGGCGCATAAGATAGGCGAAAGTTAATTGCTCCTGCGACGTTCAACAACCAGTTGATGTTTTTGGAAAACTATGACGTTCCTAGAATCTTGAAATGACCTAAATTTTACTGTGGCCCGAAGAAGGTTACATCGCCTGGTGTGTGTGCGTAACATATTTTATATGTTCTCGTCTTTTCATAGGTACCTACGCACAAAATTATGACTTTTTATTTCAATTTTCTTTTCCTTTTGTGTATAAATAGAACCGTCAGTTTTAACACCGACTGCTACCCAGATTCAAAACTGTCGCGATACGTCCGTCGTTTTGACATGAAAGTAAAGGTGGCTGATGTGCTCGTGAGTATGGGGTAAATGATATGATAAATGATTTTTTTACAATATTTTTCCTCTACGTTCAAATAATATTGGCCACGTTGTACTTATAACGCATAGACAACCTGTTACAAATAACTATATATCAAAACATTTTTTTTAGTAATTGGTCATAGCCCAGTAAATAAAGGCCTAAAGTTACCATTTGTCGCAACTAATTAATGGAAAGTTGGATTTTTTATATGTGATACTACCTTAAGAGGCAAGTATTTTCTCAAAAGTCCCCGCCTCTCCCCTTTGAGCTTTCTCCCCCAGCCCCCTCAAAAGTAGAAAAAACAGAGTTTTCATATATTGACTGTACAATGCTTAGTATTTATAACAGAGTGATAACCTCTTTGTTTTGTCAGCTCAGTCAGTTCGTAAAACTGCCTAAAACCCCGAGTGCAGCTCATCAACATTTGTTGAGAGTTTATCTTCAAATTCAATTTTGGATAGGAAATAAACTTAATCCAACAGAATGAGGTTGGAGGTACGCTACTGTGAGAGAAAATGGAATGACAAAAAAGGCTTAAGGCCTGTTCCTAACACAGTGCCATTTGCCCCTAGTGACTTACGCACTGTATCTAATCTCATGCTCTTGCAAAAAACCATGCGGAGATTACTGCAAATGCAGAAAATCTGGAGTTGACTGTTCTGCAATGTGCTAGGATTGCAATGGGCTGTCGTGTCTTAGCTTTCCAAACCTCGATGAAGATGCAGACGACTTAGCTATCTTGTAAAAGGTAAAGGTGTCCTTGGTGAGCAATCAAATATTTGTAAATATTGTAAATAGAAGAATATGTAACTATAATCTCTCTGTAAATAAAACCGTACAATTGTTCATTTGATTGTGGTGGGTGAGTGATCCGAGATGCCAATCATACAAATAAATAAAAAAAAACAATCCAAGTGGGATGGTGGCTTTAAGATGTAATATAATGTTAGGAGCTTAAGTGGATTTTTGAAATGATGCGGCGGGAGTGTTCGAGCGGCACGGACGGGCTCTCTTAAGCGGTGCTCTGTTGTACGCCAGTACAATCATAAGACTGATGTACTATATAGTTTTAAAGCTTAAAAGGTGTGCTACATGTGTTATATCTTACATTTTTACTTAATCTTACAATTACAAAGTTGCAGAGCAAAAACAAAAGTGTTTTACTAAAAATTTCATTTTTTTTCAGTTTTTACTGGTATATCTGAAAAACCAAAGGTTGATTAAAATTTTTTTAAAACAAATACTGTAGAGCATCTATTTAGGAACAATTAAAAAAAAAATATCATTCTGGTATAAATAATAAGAATTCTACAATCAATATATGAAAACTCTGTTTTTTCTACCTTTGAGGGGGGCTGTGGGGGAAAGCTCAAAGGGGAGAGGCGGGGACTTTTGGGGAAATACATGTCTCATAAGGTTGTATCACATATAAAGAATCCAGCTTTCCACTAATTAGTTGCGACAAAGAAGTTTTATTGACTGGGCTATCAATAGAAATAGTTGTAGTGGATAAGTAGACCACAAGGCAGCAGTGTGTATGGCTGCCTGCCTACATAGTATTCTCTTCCATTTTAATGCATGATGCTATGTAAACATATACTTAGTGATGTGAAAAATCGCATATTATCATTCACATTAAAAACGATGAGCAAAAGTGGAGTGGAATACTCACAGACCACTTAAAGGGTTTTTCCAGTGTTCTATATATGTGCTTACCAGAACCTTCTAACTTAATAGTAACTTTGCAACCCTTTCCAGCTTAAAAGGTTATTTCGTAAAAGCTATGTACCTAATTGATATAACGGAGACTAGAATGTAATAATTTTTTAGCGGCCATGCATAACTGAAACGATTTCAGAATTTTTTTAAATGGGTACCTATAGGATCCCTTTTATTTATTTACGCACTCAATTAAGTGTAGCAGGGACCACTTTATAGGCAATATCAGTATCTACATAGGTACAATAGAATTTACTTTTTAAAAAATAGCAATTATTTATGCCTATTAACAATAAAACAATAAAAGCATGTTGTACTTAGTTCTTATATTTAATAAAAAGGTATTTTCGAAAATTCATAATATATTAAACCTGGTTGGTAGAAACTTCCATGAAAACAATTATACCTACAATAATAATTACCATAGGAAAATCTATACCAACTGAGTTAAACCGACTGAATTTTCAAGAGATCGGCCCAAATTCTCAAAAACATCGCATTGCCAAATCTTGTAGCACGATTTAAGGCTTGTAATTATATAGGAGGTATTTAACGGCCAATATGACAAAAAAAGGTTTTTAGACCTTAGAATAAAATACTTAGCATTTTATATTGAAATAGGTCTTTATGACGAACTAAAATTTTTTCTTTATGGGTAAGGCACGCTATAATACCATTGTATATGCTAATACTTTATTCATTAATGCGAGCACATTCGCTTATACTATACTACTATTCCTTATGGGAAAAGGCTATGGGAACCCTTGTATAGTTTGGTAGATCAAATAAACCAGACCAAGCCCACTTTTTAAATATCAATATCTAAAGTCCACCCCTGTTTTTATTTTTATTTATTTTCTTCTTGGGTGATTGATAAATGTTGCAAAACGTTAGTAGGTCAAACGTATTTCTCATGTCATTGTTGTGATATTATTGACTTGATTTTTGAACTTTGGCCGTTCAAATAGAAGTCCATTAATTACGAAATCATTCCGCCGCTTTCTTGTAGGCTTTCAGTATACCCTGCTACAATCATTCAAATGTAAATTTGAATTCTTGGCTATTTTGTCCAAATTAATTGCAGTAGTTCAAACGTACCAGCCTACCGGTTAGTTACAAGGTCAAAAGCTCGACTTGTCCACGAGATGGTCCTTTATTAACCTGACGATTACTAGTAAATAGTAATTGGCTAATTTGCTACACAATTAAAGGAATTCTATTAGTTATGGCAGAGTATTTAAAAGATTTTCCCAGTGGTCCCTTAGATCAATATAGGAAAAGGGCCTCTTTCGATTGGAAAAAGCTGAAACTGTATCTTTATTCCGAGGAGATTTTACAATATCAGGTGAGTTTGATATTCACATAATAATGTAGTAATGTGCTGCCTTAGCATAATGCCTATCAAGAGTTCCTGCGACATCCTATTTTTTACTCGGAATCGTACCAAACCAGGCCGCTAGATGAGCAAAGAAAAATCGCCGCGAAGCAAACGATGATCCTAAACAATATGGAATCGTTATCGGTCGCCAACGCCTTTGCGAATTCCCACTTTCCGATAATCAAGATTAAATTACTGATGCATCTGAATCCGTCGACTGCCGTGAAAAATTCAATCTCCTTCGCCATGTTTCCGAGTGTAGTCCAGAGTTTAGGTACGGAAAGGCACAATCACTATTTGAAAGCCTCATTGGGAGGTGATGTATGTTAGTCATAATATTCCGGTACTTTTCTTATAATTGAAGTTGTAGATTATCGGAGCGTACTGTCTGACCGAATTCGGTCATGGTAGCAATGCTAAGAGTATCCAAACGGTTGCCACTTATGACAGAGATACAAAGGAGTTTATTCTTAATTCGCCGTGCTTTGAGGCAGCAAAATGTTGGGCGGGAAACTTAGGTTTGTATGTTTTTCAGAGTGCTTGCATCGGTATTTAAGAAGTTAGGTCTTCACAATGGAGTTCTGTCGAGTTAATAAGGGAGGGTCCCAGAGGTTCACCTCTGGGACCACTTATTATTTGCCTCTTAAAGATTTCCCAAATTAGATAGCGAAGTGTATTTTCCCTGGCTGTAGAACTAATAAATTCAATGCCAAAGGGCAAAAAGTATATACATATTGATACTGGTATGACGTGTAATAAGAATAATGATTATTTGAGAGTATTATAAGTTTTTTGCTTAATTTGCAATTTAAAAGTGACTGACTGGGAATAAATTATGCAATAACAACTTGTTTAATACATTAAATGTGCAGGTCACTTTTGAGGACCTGTGTGAAATTTGCATTAACCAGCGAACGACTGATTTTGAATATTTTTGTGAAGGTAGCAATAACCATAGCGCAAAAAATATGCATAGGTTGAATCTTGATATGTGCATATTTAATATCAATGGTGATATTTGATACAGTTGGTGTCCAAACACCCCTAATTCGAATTGGTTGGTTTCCACTACGTTTACTTAAGGCTTATATGGAGTAGACTCTTACAAAAATCTGCACAACTTATGTCAAATTTGCGGACCTATCCTTTTTTATATGAAAGACCACGCAATATTGATATTTTTTGTTTATAGGGTAATATAGATCATTTGTAGGAAGGCGCATTTTCTAATTCATGTTGGAAGTCATGCCAACTTTCTTGATTATAGAAATATTTTTTTGAAATTATAACCACATACTTCTACTAAAGACAAGCATATCATATATTGTAAAAATCAGATGCGCGCATGCGTAAACTGTGTAACGTCAACTTTTTAGCGCATGTTGGAAGGTGCTATTATTGCCACTTTCTTTGTCCATCCGTCCGAGGCCCTTAACTACCCCTACAGTTCTCAAGATATTTAGTTTGTTCTTTTTGCATTCGGGAGGTAATAGCTTGGGCACCTCAACAAAGAAAAATCTTGAATTAATCTGCGCATGCGCAGTTGTCAACTTTTTTATTTATGGAGATATTTCTTTGAAATTTTAACCCCAGATATATGTATGTGGCATATTGTATACAACTAGGGTTGCCATCTCAAAACTCTGCCAACTAGGACAGGAAGCGTGAAAACCCCGGGTTTAGGGATTATAAACCCGGACATATAAACTGAATTTGATAAAAAAAATATTGTCTAAAGAAATTGTACTTTATTTTTATCACTGACTAGCTAGACCAGTGTTTCTCAACCTTTTTTTACGGGTGGCCTACTTGTGAATGTTATTTATCTCTGTGGCTCCCCTCCGCGTTAGACCTGGGGGTATGGAATCCCCCCTAGGGCGGGGGGGGGGCCACACCTCAGGAAATTTTTGAAATTTTAGTAGCTTTATACGTGTTTTTAGACGTTTTTCTCAGACTGCACAAAAATGTATAGAATATAGACCATTAAATGTGACATTTCAATATTTTAAACACTTTAGAATTAGATCAAAATTAATTTTGAGTTATTTTTTAGTTATCAAGAAACCATTTTCAAGCTCATTTTGTTTTGACGCTGAAATTTTCTTTAAAAACCTACACAGAAATATTCCTGGTAGGCAGTGCCGTCTTTACCTATGTCTAGGCCCCTGGCACTTTTGGTTTTAGGGGCCCTCTCGACAAATTGTTGAAAGCTAAAAAATGGCACTTTTGAGAGTTTCCTTGCTAAGATTATTTTTTTTGGAAATAAGCTCAAATTAAAACCATAAAACAAATAAAAATGTTTATTGTGAAAGTAAAGGTAAACTTAAAAAAGGTAAGGATTATTTTAGTTATGATACATAACGTAAAGTTTGTGTGGTGCAGAGCACATGGTAGATATTAGAGACGCGTATTATTTTTCCTAAGGTCTTGTTATGTTGTTAAAAGACTGCAATGTTCAATCTTTTTTTTTAACCTAAAAATTGTTATAACAGGGCCGGATTTATTTTTTTGTGTTATTTTCAGGGTGACTTGGGACATGCCTAATAAATACAAAAGAGTACAGGGAAGTCGCAAAATATCGCGATTTCTCGACGAAGTACTGGGTAGAGCACTAAGAGAAATAAGAAATAATAAATTGTCATTAAAAGCTAGTATGAAAAGTATGGCATCCCCAAATCGAGCTTAGAAAGGAATCATAATAAAAATAGCAAATATACTATTTTCTTTTGCTGTTTTTTTATAGGAGTTTTTTTATTTTTTTTATTATGAATATGAATTTATTTTCCCTTTGTAATAAGATATTATATGGTAATTACATCAATAAATGGTCACCGAAACTACGGTACATCTTGGAGATACATAACCACGGATAGCGAAGTAATACTCGGTAGAGTAGACAGCAGTACCTACTTACGCTAAATCGTACTATACAATGACGCCGCGGGGCCCCCGTACCTGGCCCGGTGGGCCCAGCCTAAAGATGGCCCTGCTGGTAGGCGGTAGAGGCGTGTTAGAAAAAAATTACAAACATTTTCCGGTATCTCGTCTAGATCAATTGGATTGTGAGTTTGCCATTTGTAAACATTTAAATTTAAAGTTGTGATTCGCATTTATTATTTTCTAGGGAAGGTACACTGAGATAACACAAACAAGGATACGGGGTTATTGTGGTATAATTTTAATACTGACCATTTTTGGTAAATTTATTTAATTTTAATATTTCAGTACGATATTGCAGGAGTGAATTTTCGTGGCCCACTGAAAAGTTTCCGTGGCCTACCAATATGCTGTCTTTCGTTCGTGGCCCCCAAGAAATACGTCATGGAGGGGGCCATATGGCCTCCGTTGAGAAACACTGAGCTAGACTGTTTCAATATTCAATAAATTCCTTTCTTTGGTCCACTGTTATGCCACTAGTGAAAATATTCTTTCAACGTTGGCATTATGAGCAGGAATGCAAAAAAAGCACTATACTGTATTCATTTTAAGAAGGTAGCGGTAGAAAGCATAGGGAGGCTTTGACCTTCACTGTGATTGGTTAAAACACGAGGCAGTATTACAATGAAACATAAAACGACTGGTGAATTTTGTAAAGTGGTAGTTTACGTTGCCAACTAAACTGCCGAAGTGTCACTAGTTGATATTGTCAAAGATTTATTTCTGTTCGCAGTGCTGAATATTTCTACTTTACCATAATTTGTGCCGTTTTATATTTTTCCTGTGTGTGTTTATCTTCAAGCGCCATCTACTACCTTCTTATAATGAATGCAGTATAGGCGATTTTGTATAAATGAGGATTCGGTGTTTTAAAAAATTGTAACCAAAGCTGATTGGCGCTTAAAAGTTTATCTTGTTAGGTTAAATTTTGACAGAAACTCATAGATGCCTCAGTAGCCCAAAACCCGGACTACCAATGAAACCCCGCCCGGATGCTTCCCGGACGCCCTCTAAACTAGGACAAATCCGGGGAAACCCGGACGGATGGCAACCCTAGCTACAACCAACTGGCCTTTAGTGGTGCCCAGTAAAATTTTTGAAAATGCTGGGGGGGGGGGGAACACACGTTCTACCCTTTATGGTATTCTAATGAAATGTCTCACCAAAATGAATTGATTTGTACACACTATAACTTTCCTGCGCGACTCCTTTCCGAAATTAGTAGGTTATTTTAAACGGAAAAAAAATGGCGGATGCGGATTTTTACCAGTGCATAGAGAAAGAATAGGGCTATCTTTGAGTGTACTTAAAAAAAGTAAAGTTGCGCACGACCACACCTATGGAGATCCAAATTTAAAAAATTTAAATACTAAAAACTCTGTTATTGCATTTGATAGAGAATCAAGATAAGATGCCATTGGAAAAGCGACAATTTTGACCATTTTTTTCTTCGTTTTGAAAAATCTCAAAACCTTGAAAACCTTTGATGCTGGGTATAGGGCAATGTGATATCAAACGACGTAGATTTTCATGTAGATTTGGAAAATGGAATAAAATATAAGGCGCTTTAAAAACAAAATTTTGAAATGACATGTTTCTACCGTTAAGCAGATTTTTTTTAAATCGGTATCGATTGCATTAGTTACCATGGATACAATAAACAAAGCAAAATCTCCATGGATCCGTGGCCTACTATTTAAAAGCAGTAAAAAATAATTTGTTTTATTTTCATGGCTAAAATTATTGCGATACATGAATGTAATCAGAAACAAGAATACAAAAAAAACTAGTGTTAAAATATACAGGGGGTTGCATTTAAAAAATACTAACTTCAAATCTCTGAAAAGGTGGCCCAACATTTTTTTTATTACGCCACTGGGTTCTACGTCAACATATCTAAAATAGACAGTCTTTACCATTTTTCTCTCATACATGGGTAGTTAGAAATGATTTCGTCCCAAAAAGTCAAACTTTTTGTTTTCACTCTGTATCTCAGAATCAAATTTTGATTGATTCTGTTTGTGGTATTAAAAGTTCCACAAAAAGTGGCACAGGGTATCGAATCCCGCATGTCTCTATCTTTATTTAAAAACAGTTAAGATACACTGGAGCATCAACCAAAATAGGACACAGGGTACATAAAGTGAATGAAAAACAGCTTAAACAAATTATGCCGCTTTTCCTCCCTCGTTATCACAAAGTGCCTCACTAACGATTTTGTTTCAGGTCAAACTGCTACCCATACGGTTGTTTACGCCCAACTAATAACTCCCGATGGAGTTAACCATTCCTTACACCCATTTCTAGTCAATGTACGCGATCCTAACACATACCTCCCATATCCGGGAGTGATTGTCGGGGATATGGGAGAAAAAATTGGGTTAAATGGCGTCGACAATGGGTATTAGTAGACGCGCTTTGTTATAACTGTGTAATGTGCCAGTTGTAGATTTGTTATGTTTAACAATTATCGTATACCGAGGACCCAGTTGTTAAATAAGACGGCGGATGTTGCTGAAGACGGGACGTATGTGGCTAGATTGCGGGATCCTAGTAAGCGGTATGGTGCTTCGTTGGGCGCGTTGTCGGTTGGGAGAGTGATGATTGTTGGGATTTGCGCGGCGTACGCCTCGCAAGCGCTTACCATCGCAATTCGTTATGCTGCCATTAGGAAACAGTTCGGGCCGGAAGGGGAAGAGGAGATTTCGATACTGGAGTATCAAAGTCATGTAGGTTACCGACTAGAAATTCCTCCGTGATAGTGTTCTTTTAGCAACATCGTTTAATTCCCTACTTGTCTGTGGCATACGTCTTGGACCTTTTTTCGAACTACCTCGGAGCTGTACAAATCGAGTTTATTACAGAAGCCATGACTGGTAATGACAATACGGCCGACTTGGGTTTAGAATTACACGCGATATCATCCAGTGGGAAACCGCTGGCGGGTTGGTTGGTGCGTGATGCTGTTCAGGAATGTCGGGAGGCCTGTGCTGGCCACGGGTATCTCAAAGGTGAGATTAGTAATTGCACCAACACCTGCACGAAGGTTCACTTTACAGCTTCTGGATTAGGCGATCTTAGAAACAATAATGACGCTAACTGCACATATGAGGGGGAGAATCATATTTTGATTCAACAAACGAGTAATTGGCTACTAAAGTTCTGGCCCGCAGTTATGAAGGGAGAAAAAATTGATTTTCCTTTAAAGTCTGTGAATTTTTTAACTAACGCACAAGAAATTCTAAGGAGAAAATTTAACTTCAATTCGTTTGAAGATGTTATGGAACCAAAAAGTATGGCCAATAGTCAATAGGTTGTAAAGTAATTCGTTTTGCAGATATTCTAGATATGTACCAGTGGCTTGTGTGCTTCCTTTTGAGGGCTTCCTTCGAGAAATATGAAACTTTAACTAAGGTTGAAAAATTAGATCCATTTTGGGCCAAAAACGAATCCCAAGTGTTTTACCTTAAGAATTTGGCAATTGTGTATATTCAGGTAAGAATCGTTTTGATTTGTAGGCACGAAAAGAAACAATTTGGTTTTAGCACTTTATAATTCAACGGGTATATCTCACTGTCTTAAACGCGCAAGACGCAAACATCAAGAATATTTTGACCAAAATTGTATCTTTGTACGGAGTATGGACGTTGGAAAAATATTTGACGATCTTTTACCAGGGAGGATACGCCTCGGACTCGAGATTAATCAATTTTATACAGACCGCCATTTTAACTTTATGTAAAGATTTAAAGGACGACGCCGTCGCTTTGGTCGACGTGATCGCGCCCCCTGACTTTTTGATTAAGTCAGTTTTGGGTCAGTCGGATGGAATGGTAAATTAGTGGCGAGCGTTTAACTCGAATATTGCAATTGCATTTTAGGTATACAAGCACTTGCAAAACGCCATGTTCGAAACTCCGGGCGCCATGTCCAGAGTGAACTGGTGGAAAGACATTAAGAGTTGGAAATCGAAGCTTTAAGTTTTTTTTAATTTACAATGGATACATCACATTAATTTTATTGTTGGCTTTTTATAATTCTATATTTTCATATTATTAATATACACAATGTTCACCATCACAAATCTGATTTTTAAAGATCAATTGAGAATTTTTATGCTCTTGTCAATAATGGTGCAGAAGCTTTATCGGTCCTTATTAGGACATCTGTTTTAGATTCCGACCGTTTTCGAATGCGGAACTGGATTTGAGTAACGGCCGCTTGCAGATGGTGCGTAAGCCATACGAGAAGCGAGGTCCTCTAATTTCATGTTTCTTTGTTAATGTTGCTCTCTTACTTGTGGCCCGCTACAGTTCTTGTGCGGAAACCATAGAAGAAGGGGGTCCTCTAATTAACTTCGTGTAGGTTTTGCTTCTGCGATGATGGCATGAATACTCATTACTGGCATTCTCACATATTTTTTGTCTGAATCTATGGCAATCGAGGCTGGAGTAAAGCCAAGCTAATTGGATGTTTTTGTATGTACATGCAATTTATCATTTTACGAGTTGTTTTGCCGAAATTGATCGTAGATTTGTGTCATTTGTTTTTATATTGAATAGATTGATCATTCCACTTGCATTTATGATGTCTCTTCTGTATGTTTTTAAGAATTTGTTTAACTGTATTTGATTCGATTATTTGATTTCTATTGTACAATTTGAGATGTTCTATTTGCATATTTTCTCTTGCATTTTGTTGCAGTAGTTGCTTTATTTCATGTATTTGTGTGGGCTATGACGGGGTTTTTGTCCCGAAGAAGGTTTCCCCTGGTATTACCTTGTGTGCGTAATTTATTTTTTTGCTGTGCGTAATTTATTTTTTTGCTCATGTCGGCTTGAGGAAATTCTAATAGCGTTTTCGATTGGCAACACTCGTGCTGCACGAGTGCAATTTTTACGTTCTATTGGTAATTTTAGGGCAATTTTCTGTGTTCCTTTGGCAAATGTGATGCAACAATTACGCACTCGGTGCAAATTTCGACGCACGAGGTCCGAGAGCTCGTGGAGCTACTAGTTAACAAATTTTCAAAATAAACGTGCGACAATTTGAATTTGTTTCTTGCGTTGGAGAATTTTTTGTCGTCATCTAGCGATAGCGAAGATAATGAACTAGCCATATCTTCTACTTTACAAAAAGTTGCAATTAGTCATTAAACTGAACGCCAAAAATTGGTCCTTTACAGGAATTATGTTCCTCGTTTATCATAAATAATACTGAAATCGTTTCAGTCATTTTTTAGAATAGAGATTTGTCGATTATCTAAATCTAAAATGAGGTTATGGACAAATGACAACAAATATTTACAAATACTTATGTTCCATTGAGAGCAATTTTCACATGGATTTCTTCAGTTTCTCGTGCAGCACGAGTTTTGCCAATCGAAAACGCTATAAGATCTATGAACCTTCTTCGAACACCCTGTACATTTGAAAATGATCTCTGGGCATGCTGAATCCTGCCATTTGTCAGTTGTCAGTTCATGTTCATAACCTTCCTCCACAATTTTAATATTGACTGCAGTTGCACCGACTTGTTTTTAATTAAATTAAAAACCTGTTCTGAATACTGTGGAAAATACGTATAGATTTCAAGGTCTAATTGTAATTATAATACCGCAAATCTTTTGCTACCTTGAAGCCGCAATAATACGCAGAAAATGGCAGGAATAAATGGAAGAGCGCTGCATTATGTATTCAAAGATCCAAATCGAAAACTGTCAACATTTTTCTACAAAAATGTGTTGGGAATGAAGATATTAAGACACGAAGAATTCTCAGAGGGGTGCGAGGCGGCCTGCAACGGGTATGCAAAGTGTTGCAATGCTATACGTACACACGTTAAGTTATCTTTTAGCCCGTATGCGAATCGTTGGAGCAAATCTATGATTGGGTATGGTCCTGAGGATAAACATTTTGTTGTCGAATTGACTTATAACTACCCAATTAAGTCGTACAAGAAGGGCAACGATTTTATTGGAATCACTATTAAGAGTAAAGAGGTACTTGAACGAGCGAAGGCTGCCAATTGGCCGATTCTGGCAGGAAACGTACTTGAAGCTCCCGGGGGATATAAATTCTTTATTAAAGATGAGCCACAACCGTCCGACAGAGGTACCATGCAATTTTAATACGACATTTACGATTTCTAATTATTTCAGATCCAATTGAAAAGGTAACCATAGCATGCTC